TTGCTCTTAAATTGATAAGAAAGTGGGGTAATGCTTTTGTCATAAGTTGAACAATTGTTAGTAGCTTGACAAATGTATATGTGCTCTGAATATTGGATGCGCAGTAGATCAGCCGGCGGAGTGGAACTAGAGCTTATTAATATCGAGGAACTCGTGTAGTTAACATTGTGTTAGTACATCAAGTGGACAAATTATTGTGTGTGGTGAACTGTGTGTTATTTGTTGTCTTCGAAAACGCCATCGAATAGTAAACTGAAAAACAAGGTTCTCAATGGATAAATCGGAGAAACTGTGAACAACGTAAGATTTATGCGAGCAGAAGCAACGACAGATGGAATAAAAATTCCTCTTACGAATGGAAGAAGTAATAGTACTAATAAACAAGATTGTAACCAATATTGTATTTTGCTTTTAAGAACAAATAGCTGAGATCACAAAGGTTTGCGTTCAAACTATACGAAAAATTAAATCAGAGATAAAAAAAATAGAAAGTGGCGAGAAAAAAATTCAACTCCAAATAAAATATGTATGAAAAATTCCAAAATGTGATAAATCATGCTGATTTAGCAATTTAACGCAGATGTATAATTGATTTTCATATCAAAGAAAAACGAGTTCCTACGCTTAGGGGTATTCATAAAACTATCATCCAAGGTATTAACTATCTGGGTAGCGTGAAGTACAATTTTGAATTCGGAATATTGATGGAACGAAATCCTTTTCAACTATTTAGGGTAGACGTCTTGAAGACGTTTCATGATCATTCCTAGTAACTATGCATTCAAGTAATTATCTATCAATTGTCAGGTGTAATTTCATCCATTTTCTCTTAGTTCATCCATCTCTAATGAGAATGTACGTATCTATTATTTGCAATTGTGTATTACTCATTATCTTTCAATTATTTTCCACCTGCATATAAGGAAAAATTGGAGTTCCCGTTCTTTACTGGTAGATGTGTAGTTGTCAACTCTTGCCGAATTTATTTATGCCAAAATGTCTTCTATATATAATAATAATAATCTTTATTCATTCTCTAAGATCATAGACATGATATAGGACAAGTCGTAAGATGTATAGTGACAGACATATAGGTACACTGTATTACTTCAAACATATCGTCCATACAAACAAGCAAACAACAAATAAAAAAACTATGAATTAGCAAAATATTTACTAATGTCACAAAAGCAAGATTCCACTAAAAATTTTTTCAATCGTGTTTTGAATTTATTAATATTTTTTTCGTTTTTGATATCACTTGGGATGATTGAAAAATCGTATTCCATTAAATTCAGGACTGCTTTCGTAAAGTGATGCATGGTGCTTTATACTTCTAAATAAGTCACCATGCCTCGTAGCATGATCATGAGAGTCAGAATTTTTTGAGAAGCTCTTGATGTTGAGTTCAACATATGTTACAGTTTTATTAATGTAGATTGATGGTACCGGCAGTAATTTAAACTTCTTGAAATGATTGCTACACGTCATTCGGTAATCTAAGCCAAGTATTAGACGAATTAGTCTTTTTTCACTTATGAAAACTCTGCGAGCATTGGCCGTACTTCCCCAAATGACAATATTATGTGAAATATGCGAACATGAGAGAGCATAGTGTACACATTTTTCAATTGCTCTAGTGTGAATATATTTTTCAGCTGCAAAATTTCATAATAACTACTATTGAGTCTCTTACACACCTGATCAACATGTGTATTCCACTTCAAATTTAAATCTAAATATGCTCCCAGAAATTTTATTCAATCCAAAAAATATATATTTTTGTTGTTTACGAGAACAAAATAATCATTTGAGATTTTTGTACGAGAATAAAACTGTAGACATACCGTTTTGTCAGGATTGTCAATTGAGGAATTGTCATTTACACCAATCAATACATTCTTTTGACAAATTATTCATTTTTTGCACAAGTTCTTCTGGGGGTTCAGCATCAGTGGCGATTGTCGTATCATCTGCATACAAAAAAATGTGTTTAGTGCTCAAATAATTTGGTAAATCATTGACGTACGGAAGAAAAATGAAGGGACCTAAAACTGATCCTTGAGAAACCCCTAAATCAACATCAAAAAGTTGAGATATACAATCATCCGCTTTTACGCAAATTCTCCGATACTCAAGATAAGATGCGAGCTACGACAAAAAATTCCCAGAAATTCCAGTCCAGATAATTTGCCCAGAGCAACATTAATATTGATAGAATCAAATGCCTTAGAAAGGTCAAAGAAGAGTACCCCAACAAACCTTCCGCGGTCCAATGTGCCTTTTGTGCATGAGATATAAGGAATTTTGTCCCTAAAGGCTAGGAGAGAATGGCCAGCAGCTCTCTATTCTGGAGACTGTATTCTGGCTGACTGTTAAGAGTTAGCTCCCCAGATCGTACATTTTGTACATCAAGTTGACATGTTTTGCTTTTTCTCCAACTTAAAGACTGACGATTTCTGAGAAGAATTTCCATGAGGCCAGAGATAAAGCACCAAAGGCTTCAAACTCTTGATTCAAAGGTTTGGTTGGAGAACGGCTTAGGTTTGTGTAAATCATGTATTTCTTTGAAATACCTGCTCGTTTTGTGAAACGCTATTATTCGATTTCGATTGCCGAATATGTTCGTGAAACGGAAGCCAAAAAGTGTCTGAGGCACTGGGAAAATTGCTCCTATAGACTACTTCTGAATGATATTCTGAATGAGGGTACTGAATAGTACCCTCATCACGACTTCGGTTCCAATTCAAAAACAGATGCGAACCTTAACAAATATGTCTGAAACATGAAAGGTTCTGAACTCGTATGGTAGTAATGTGATATTTTTATTTCACGACGATATGTACTTTGTATGTTGAATCTCTATTTCAGATACTTGTAATCAAATAAGTCACAAGCAAATACACAATATCCACAAATGCTCAATGTGTGTGTTACTCCGGATATATTTTCACCTATGCACCCAATTAAGGAGTATAGGTTCTAGATAAATTGTACATCTTTTTTTTTTTCCATACATAGTTGAATCAAATGATTTCAAATGGTTGGATGCCAACATGACTGGCATGAAAATGTCATGCCAGTCATGCTTAGTAGCCAATAAGTTCACCAGGTTTTAGTCTGTTGAAATATTGTCTCTGATGTTATGTATAAACTGGAAGTTCATCACAATGGATCTACAAATATTGATGCGTTTCCAGAAAATACGTTGACATGAGCGATCGATAGCTTGATAATGAAAGTGATCAATCAATATTACTCTCGACTCTACAGCAAGATTTTTCAAGTTTGAAGAAGAACCTTTCGAATTGTATTAGATTGGACTTGGTATTCAATAATTGCCACTTTTACAATAATGACTTCTAGTTATATTTTTGGTGTTATTTTTATTTGAAGATTTTGTACAAACTGTGAATTACAGTGCATTATTTGTTGAATGTAATGAATGTTTCTGTTTTTTCACTTGTACTTGCCATATCGAACATTTTTCTAAATTATGCAATAGTTTTTAGTGCACTTCCAAATGCAGATCTTGAATCTCTTCTGAATAGTCTGACTTCATCCTCTGAACTATCTCAACATGATTCGCAAACAGGACGCAGAAAAACAACAATATCTAGAGAACAACAAATGATTCTGCAAAATGCATTCGATATTGCCCCATTCGTAGATAAACATCGATTACTCGATTTGATTGAAGAAACTGGATTGGATCGCAAAGTGATCAAAATATGGTTTCAAAATAGGAGACAAAAGCAAAAGAAAAAACCTCCACCGCCAAGATGGGAGGGCGATTAAACGTATTCGTACTTACTTAGGTGTTTGTGGGCATCTATAAATTTTTGTGTATTCAGTCATTGTTCGTATTAGATAGCTTTTCTTCGTTGTAAACGAAATTGGTATTTTTGGGTAGCTTAGTTGTGAATGGTTAGAATAAGTTTTAGAGAATAATATATTAATACATCGCGAATAAAAATTATCTCTAGAAAATTACATTCCTTTCGTGTGTTTTTAGAATCCCAATTGTAACATGTACTAATAAAATTGAATATAAGTACAGCGATGGTTTCTCTACCTTAATTTCACCAGTAATGATGTACTGTATAATCCTAATTTTCATTATTCCCAAGTACGGTATAGCTATGCATGTATATTAAATTATGTTGTTATAATTAATTGTTACAGTGTGGGCGACCCTTCATATGAACAAAATCAATATGTAACATAAAAAAAATGAAGATCTCTGAAATTTCTTTATTTGCTATCAAGTAAGACATCAAGTGAAAAAGAAAATTCTGAGTTCACAAGTATGAATATGGTGCATAGAGAGAGAATGAGCAATTTCGTTCATATAGAACATATCTTTTTGTATGTCTTTTAGATAAAATTATTGTTCAAAGTTTATAATCGATTTGGCTTTTTATTTTGAGAACATATGCATATTAGGCTCAACGCTTTGAGTTAGTGCAATAACAAAGACGCTTACATTATGGTTTATCGATGGAACCATATTATGATGAGAAAAAAGTTATTATATTATATCATTTTCCGAAACGAAATGTTTAAATTCAATAAAAAAATACGAGATACACCACCTAATCACCGTTATATATTCATTTATATTTATTATTTAGTGATACTGTTTCTCTACACAATAGCTTTCTCAAACGTTTTCATATTAAGCTTACAAAACTCAAAAAGCTACTGGAAAACATGTGATGCAGTAGAAATGTCACAATAAAAGTGTTATTTGGATAATTTATGAATTTTCATCAAGAATCGACCAATATTTATTATATTCATCATTAAACATTTCTCAGAATAGCTCATGGCCCTAATGATTCATGTAGAAAATCAATCGATTTTTACAAATACATACAAGAACATACAGACAAAAATTTGACATTTATGTCAATTCTCTTGAGAATCTGTTTTCATATAACAAGGTTTTCTTTTACTATATTGTGCTATACTTTCATAGTCATTATTATTTTTTGCAGCAGAGGAATTTAAGAAATACAGATGCATGAAATGTTCTAAAGCTTACAAGCATCGGCCCAACCTGTACAGGCATTCAAAATATGAGTGTGATGGAATACCAAGATTCGTCTGTGAATTTTGTGGCAAGGCCTATACCCAGAAGGTTACTTTGAAACAACACAGGGATTCACTTCATCTAACTGCTATTTTTAAGTTAAATGTTAAGTAGATTTTATATTGATACTCTCGTGACATATTCGGAGAAACATGTTTATACCGAAGATTATACTGCTTTGAAGACATCACTTGAAAGTGTTCGTTGGAAATGTGTCTTCTAAATAAGTTAATACTTCTCAGAAGGAATAATTACCAGTCACCGCATTTTTTGATAAATAATCGTAAAAATGTATTCAAAAACACGATGAACGTTCATCATTTTTATTGTTATAACAATACTTCTATATATATATAGATGAACTCTTCACCAATTCTAATCATCATCATGATAAAGATGCCAACTCATCACCGAAAATTTGAGATAATTTTCAAGCCACTCTTCTGCGGATAGTAAATTGATCACCAGCCACTTGCTGCCCTGATTGTTAGTTAGCTAAAATAAATTTAGCCAGTTCTCAAACAGAGCGTGCTATCGATGAGTACGAATTGCTATTTTTTCAGGATTTACTTTACAAGTAGATTTATTTTGGGTCATACAATGCATTGACGTATGCCCCATTTATGTAGAATAGAAAAAGATTTTATTCTTCAACGTGAAAGAAAACTGACCGACTTTGTTAAGAGTAGTGGAGATTACAATCATTAATAAAACTTGATAGTGGTAATGAGAGAGATTTGCGTGCAGGAAAATACTTAAAACACTCTGTTCGTATATGTTAGAAAGTATATAATCAGGGATAGCTCTCTTTTCCATTGAATCTAGGCATTCTCAGGGCATGCTTAAGGGAGAAGTTCCATTAATGTTAGCAGTATTCCAAAGCTGATCTAATTTGAGGAGGTGTATTTAGTATTAGAAGTTGATGAGATGTGTGCATCTATCTGGTTCGAAATGGAGTCTCTAGTTTATGAGCAGGTGACTTTGTTAGTAACGTGTTCATGCTGAGACATATTTTTATTTAATCTGACACTTAACACATCAATCGACGCAGCTAGAGGAATCCTGAGCCTGACCACATTCACCGTCTTAGAGAAAATTCTTGCTTAGGTTTTTGTAACATAGATGAATGTTCAAGAAACCATATCGAAAGAAAAAGCAAGTATGCTATAGTTAACCAAGCAAAATACTCTATTTCATTATACTCTTCCAATAGATCGTTGATGTATAATAGAAAAAGAGTTGGAGAGAAAGTGGATTCCTATAGAACACCAGCGTTGATTGCAACGGTATTCGAAAGAGAACCATCGCTGGCCACTTCTAAGGAACGGTATTTGAGAAAGATGGAAAGTCAAGAACGAAGACGAACTGACAAGTCTCAACATCGAAATTCAATTAGTAAACTCTCACGTCAGACATAGGTGATTTTCAAGAAGAAAAAACCCACTTTTTCTAATACACTTTGAAGAGGCTACAGAACACTTACTGAAATTCACTGGCAAATTTCTCATGTAGGATGACATCTACTTCATCAGAACTACAAGTTTTTTTGATATTAAACTGTGTCAGAATTCGTCTGACAATACGTTATGGAGGAATTGAAGAGGAAAAACAAGGGATGGTATCTGTAGAATGGAATGCAAATCATTCAGTAAGTGAATTTGCTTTTTGTATCGCTGTTGTTTCTTTGTATCAGTGGTGGATTGGTGAAATTCAGGCCAATGTATTTCACTGACCGATATAATCTCGAAGCGATGGGGCTGCCAAGAAGTTTGTTCTTGATTCTTTAGTTCAAGCCATTTGTATTCATTGATTCTGATTGTTTCCAAACGAATGATGTTTGGGAACATCAGCTGTAACCTGTAACAGCTATTTTTGTGTAATAAATAGAACCACTAGAATGGTGACGAATTCCCCCTCAAAGACGTGTCATAAGATTTCCTCTGATTCTGTATCGAATATTTTAGTTGATTCAGAACGGATATATGGAGTTAATGATCAGTGTCTAGCATATCCATCGGCTTTTTCATTGTCTCTGTTATTGGAATGTCCTGACACCCAGTATGGAGTTAATATATTTCCATACGCTCCTCATAGTTTTCCACAGCGTACCCAAGCAACTTTTGGTTTCATCAGTGCCAGAAGTGCAAGTCTGGCTCTCTGTTAGAATACTTATCTACTCATTTCGTTGAAGCCTTGAAATAATTTTCTTTCACCATGAATAACGAAGACTCACGATATCATTATTATTTCGATTTCATGTTGAGTGCAATTATAATTTCCCTCTATGCCATCGTGAGGTTTAAAATGAATGTTAATATAACTATTGGTAGAAAGAATCTAACAAATACCAATGTCTTGGATTCATCGGATCACTTTGTAAAAGATATATAGATAGTTGAGTTCATCTTTCGTGGTTTCTATTAGTCAGGGTAAGTTCCTTGAGGAAGGTATACACATTGTCGCAATATATGGGATTTATTATGAAATGATACTCTAGCGTTGAATTAACGGTGGAAGGGTCGGTATCTGAAAAAGCTTTTAATCTGAATGAAATCATGTAGGCCATGTCGTCTGATTTGCTTCAAATTGAGTAATTTACAACAGTGTAGAGGCATTCTAGGACTCTGTTTTATCTTTCATTTTCAGGTTTTGAGGTTTGATCATTCCCATAGATAGCGACTTTGTGGTCATCAACAAATGTCTCATTGTGTTTGCATGTCAAACAAACGTCAGTGGCTGATCTACTCCCACTGATTTTTTTCCCATTCTGATGATGAAAAGAGATGAAAACTATTTTTTACAATCGAACTGGTAGTAACTTTTTTAACTGATGCGGAAATTTTTTTTGTCTCTGTAGATCGAATTGAAAAAGAGATGAAAGATCAACGGACACTCTTGAAGTTTTCTTCAGAACAGTATTTGACTTGTTCGAAACCTTTTTTGTGAATTAAAAAAACTACATATTTGTTTGGATTACAGTGTATTTTTCTGATATGTATTATGCTGTTTGTTTTTTCGATATAAAATTTATGATTTTATTTAATGAACATATTTTAGAATACATCATTCTATATATGTATATGGAGATATCTGTCTGAATCCTCCAAAATAATTTTTACCAAATATTAATTAATAATATATTATATATTGTTGAGAGAATCACCTAAAATTTCTGTTCCAACCCATTAACTCTCCCATCAACTTCAAGAGGAAAGATGCGTGCCAATATGATCTATAAAGTTTTCAAATATGGAAGGAAATTATGTAATATTCATCTCATTATCGATAGATTTTCATATTTCACTTCTGTCTTTATATAAAAATGACGGTGATCGAGTACCTCAATATAAATCTAAGAAACATTTTATCAGACAAAGCACTATTGAATGAATACTTTTTTCAAAAAGTATAGACTATTCATATCAAATCACTAAAAGATAAGAAAGGTTATATAAGGATGTATAAGAAATTTAAGAGAACTTTCCAAAGGTTAGTTCACACATCAAATTCCAATAAATCTCAAAACAAAAAAATATTGTATAAAAAATTCAAAATATACATTTTGAACATATCATTAACATTTTCATGATTACATAAAAAATAAAAAACATTTTCAGTCAATTTCAAACTCTTGCAATTATTTTTTTCTATATAACAAATTTAGCTTTTTACATTTTGACTCATTCGTAAAAACTCAGGATAAAATTTAGGACTTCTAAGAACTTTTGAAATTGTTCTACATTGTTTTCATCTTGCTCCTTATGCTCCTTATGTAAATGCAATAAACCAAATTCCCACAATAAAACGTGAATATTGTTAGCGTCATTTTTCATCTAATTTTGAAAAAAATCTCGTTCTAGAGCAAAATAACAAATGACAATATCATTTAATACAAACTTGTGAAAAATTGGCATTTCCTACAGGCATTTGGTACTGAAAAAATTACTTTCATTGTAACTAATGATGATACATAAAAACCTTTCAACCAGGTGCAAATATTATACCTCCTCATCGATACACAGTCACATAACAAAAAACTTACATTCAAACATTATCAATTACTTACCTTTCTTATCACTTTACAATAATTATTCATTTGTGATGAAATACAAACAATTATCCTTTTCCGACATCATATAAAACGCAAAAGGACTGGTTCAAATATACTCAAGAGTCACTGTAAAATATATTGCTGTTACTATTACTGGTTGCTCGATTGGCAACCAAGTCACATGACTTACTTGACGCGGCTAGATGCGTCAACTGTAAGTCGCGTATTCTTTTCGATTCCAAGGAAATTGCTACTATTCAGAATAACGTTTCGATTCGAATTCAAAATGTCTTATCATACTAATGAGTTTCGATTAAGATATTAAGATTTCTGGTGGAGTTTGAACTAAATGATTGTTCCTTGTTTTAGTGAGGTTATGCAAATCAGTGAATTTTGGCCTTAGTAGAGTCAGTGTTTATTCATTGTCATAATCATAGTATCAGATTTAACCTGTGAATTTCTGAAGGAGCATTTATACGAAGTTTTAAAATTCAGTCACAATCATATTTGATTATTCAATTGGTTCATTTCGATTGGGACAGTGACAGTGATTGAAATTGTGAGAATGATGCATAACTAGAGTCTGAGAGTAACGTATGTGTATCACTGTAGAACTCTGTTTTAAACTCTTCAAATTTTCCACCATTTCATCGGTTAGAAGGAAATAACCTGTGGAATTTTTCTTCATATATCCTGGGAAATTTCTTCAATTTTTAACAGTTCAGTGACCTAGTCGATAACTAATAGATACGCCAATATTCACCATCTTGGATATAATGACTACTCTGATTTTCCTGAATTTTTCAGATCGACCCAGATATGTTTGTCGTAACTGTGGCAAAGGATATAATAAAAATAATTCTTACTATAAACATATAAAATTTGATTGTGGAAATATGAATCCATTTGTTTGTGATGTTCAAGGGTGTTCCTATAAGTCAACGAGAAAAGAGAATATCAGACGACATACTGCTATAAACCACAACTTCCCGAACAATCTTGATTCTCATGTTTCGATGTCATAATATAAATCTAAATAATTACCATTGATTATAAATAAATTTATTTATTATGTTGATATTGTATTATTTCTTGAAATTATATTTAGTGGAAATACTTTTGAAAAGCTGGCAAATATTAAAGAAACTGAAGTGGTCAATTGGAGAAGTGATAATGTGCCCGGCTTTCAATCAATGGTAGGTACTGAATTCGCACCTTTCACCAGATATATTTCTCGTGAGAATTAAATATATTTTATATACAGTTTGAGGTGCATGGATACATTTATGTTATATTGACGACAGCACTGCGAATGGAGAAGTTGCGCGATATTGTTAATGTCGTATTAACCTAGATGAACTTCAAATATAAAACAAAACAGAATATATCATTGGATTCTGCGTATATTAGTGTGGAACGACTGATAGCTGACGTAATCCGACCTAGCCGGCAGGTATTAGGGCCTAGTAGGTATATGAACGTCGCTGCCTGGGTAAGATGGCTTCACACACCGGACGAAATTATTTTTGCAGGCGCAACTTCAACTGATCATAATTTTCTCGTTCATAATAATTAGGTAACAGTTTTGTTCAATTTCATCCTAATGTTTATAATTGATCTATATTGAAAAAATGAAAACTTCTCCATTGCCATGATGAAGTTATTGACATTTTATTCCCACACATTATTATCTTATCCCAACATACAAACAATAAGAGTTCATCTCCTGGCAATAATCAAGTCTATTTACGAATTCATTTCCTGCATTTATGTAATGTTTCTGGAATAATTCTGTTGCAAGCTCCTTTTCTAACATTCAGTATTTCTGACCGCCTGACAGACTGCATTTATGTAATAATTGACTGAGGTAATGTCAGGTGATCCACCGAGCTATTTTAAGGAACCAAATTTTTTTCTCCAACAATTGAGATGACTGTAAGTATCAGGTATTCAATTTATTCCATTTATAAACGATCCGGCACTGTTGAATTATTCTTATCCTATGTTGAATACCCTATTTATTTGAGTAAGTTTGGAATTATGGCAGTTATCAAAGTTTGCAGATTCTGAACCGAATATAAAACTGCAATTCACTCTGCATCGTCTTGGTTGATTTTCTGAAATTGAGAACAAAGTTGGAACGAGTTGAAAGACCTATCAATTGAGGTATCGCGAGGCACGTACTATGAAAGCATGTTCTGAGCGACAAGTGGCGTCTTTTTCACCAGAAACTACTAAATAATATATATTTTATCCGCAGCTCTCACTGAAGTCAACTAGTTGAAAAACAGAACGACGTACTATCTTGAAGTTGTTACGGTTTCGAAAGTAATTTTTGATGTCTTTTGATAACTTCGAAAGAGTCATTTTTGTATTTCCGTTGACTCCGAGATTTTTGAAAAAAACTTCTTATATAGTTACGAAACTGTTGATCTGAAGCATTTTGTGCTCTGATACTAGATTTTTTGATTATGAGGTGTTTTTGACAAAAATGTAGAAAAGGCAAGTGTTCTTTTTTCATTTTTATTTTTATTCATTCAACAGTTATTCAATACACATACAGCAATACCACTTTTTATTGTACATCAACGAGTTATTGAAAAAAACCAAGAATCCAATATATTGCTTTGCTAACGACAAACACTTGTCTCGTCATTCCATTTGGATTCCAGGACATCGGCTACGGAGGCACATCTTCACCGGCAGCAGGAGGTTGCATGTCTTGATGAGGATTGCATGTCTTGATTGATTTTGAATTGGGGCGAGAGTAACCACGTTCAATTCAATGCCACAAAAACCCAGGTATCGGTTTTCTCCAAGATAAATGTCTCCTAACCGGATATAATAAAGTCAGACCAAACAATTCCGCTTTCTGCTCCGATAAAATTGTTGGAGGTTGAAAAGGACATCAATATGTTTTGGCACAATCATGTCGCTGGCACATTTGAATCCACCAAGAGCTGTACGTATCAGAAATACGCGACGGACTGTGGCTGCTTATCGTTTTGATGTTCAACTCAGTACACCTCGAACTTTACTGTTTGAGAAGTCTTCATCTGGAGAAGTGCGTATATGTGGAATAAACTTCCTGAGAACGTTCTTCCAAATGGATTTAACCTTCAGCGGTTCAAATCCAATGAGAATCGCTACTTTCGCACAGGCACCGATCTGAGAGCGCCTCTAGGAGTTTTCTGTAGTGCTTGTGTTTCGCCTTAAAAAAAACAAAAAAACACAGCAATACGAGAAATAATAAAATGAAAGTTTGAATCTTCTGTAACACAGGCTATCACTGTAAACAACTGTTGAAGGCCATATTATAATAACGTATGAACAAGATTTTTCTTGGAGCTTGACAGAATCACTTTTGTTGACATAAGAAAAGATATTTCGAGTGAATTCAAAAATATTTTTTGCGGATAACGTAAGAGAAATATTTCAAGAATTGAACATTTATTTAAATTATTCATTGCATTTATAATAAGTACAGTGTTATGTAATAAATTGGCACTGACGTCATATATTGTGAAAAAATATGACAACACAAGTAACAAATTGTTTAGGTATGCATGAGAACTGTCAATTTTTTATAACTCAAAGTTGACGTCTTTGCGCGGTGGTGCCATAGATAATGCAACTGGTTGTTTCTTCATAACAATAATATGTAGCTAATGAATAAATTCAGCAGAACCGACACATAATGTGGAAACTGAAATCATCCCATTTCTCAAAATACGCCACACCCCTTGTAAATGAAGGATTAATCACAGGAACATTTTTCACTTTTTATTCGTGAAAACTTTCCATATTTTGTTTAACATCGCAGTTATCAGTTTCATGATGACAGTGAATACTATTGTAGACATATTGTTTTTTATATAGTATTTGAAATAATTCATGCAGGAAGTAGAATTTTTACTCATATTGCAAATCGCAATTTTTCTATTAAAATATTTCTCGAAAATACTGTGCATGGTGTAGGAATATTAGAGAACCTACCTTTTAAGACGGAACTAAAAATTTTGATTTATTCATAATTTTAATTTCAGTTGAGTCTCCAGATGTGAAATATCAGAAGAATTGGAATATCGTGCATCGGTGTGAAGATTGT